AATAGACTGTCCTCTCTACGTACCTTTTTGCATAAAATGATAACCGTTTTCGTTGTTCGAACTAAACTCAAAAACCATTGAATAGAGTTCCGTCAGATTGTCGGAGGTTTTCTTACATATATGGTCCTATTACATGCTACTATAAAACTCTCTAGGTGGTGCTGGAGTAGAGTTATTTATAAAAATCGTATTTATTAGCCGATTTCGTGCAAATTATAAATGTGAGCTATGTACCTGTATGATGAAAAATTCTTTTGAAAAAAATGTACACCATGAGTGCCGCTGGAGTAGGGCTGCCAGACGTCCCGGTTTTCCCGGACATGTCCCGGTTTTAGACAATTTGTCCCGGTGTCCCGGGTCAACCTTAAAATGTCCCGGGTTTCGTTTAAGTGTCCCGGTTTTCGATTTGATTGCACAAATTTTGCATAAAAATGACTACACTGAGAGATAAAATGCGTTGTAATATTAAGAAAAATTTTATGAATTCACTGAGGGTAAACATGAGTATTTTCTGTTGGATTATCGTTTAAAAATTGTTGTGTAGCTGGCTGTTCGGGCAGAGGAAAGTGGCAGGTTGGCATGCTTGTTGGCCCAGGCTAGCTCAATATGGCTCAAATAGTTCGGCTTTCAGCTCGAAGTAGCCAAAATTCTGGTCCTCAGCGTGGTCTTCGACAATTTGCCAATACCATTTAAGTGCATTGCCCGTGACCAAGCAATGGAAATCGGAAAACAGCTGTTCATACGGGACATCATGTTGCGCTCGCATCCTTTCAACTCTGAAAATAAAACTTTCTACAGTGATGTTCTTCCCGGTACCATCAAACTTGACGTGCCACTTGTCCAGGTCAACCTTCTTCCACCTGGTGGCTTCTTCTGTCCTACCCTGGCTAGCCTGCTCCCTACGAGGTTCTGCCTCTCTGCGCTGGTATCCACCATCCCCTAGCTGAGCTCCTGCCTCAGGAGTTGATGCCATAGCGGGTGGGTTAATGACTGCCTGCGCAGACGATTCCACATCTGTCACACGGTTGCTGAGCTGCGAGACATCATTGCGCATGTTGCGGACCTCGCTCATGCATTGAGCCATCATATTATTTTGTTGGGCCATCAGCGCCATCATTTGTTCCATGTTATTCAATGCAGAGCTTGGCCCACCACCATTCGCCTTCGAAGCTGCAGCAGCCTGAGGCAGTTGCAGATTGTCTTGCTCCATAAGTTCGCTTTGCCTTAAATGCTGACTATCAGCTGTCAATTGCAAGGTTTCTCCGCGAAAGGCAAACTCCGGTCTCTTGTACTTATGTGGATATTATTTGTGACGGTTACACTTGAATGGGGTGCGTTACCGGTCGAGCCAAAGAGACGCGCAGTGCACCTGTTCAAAAAGTCGGTGGGAACAAAGTCAACCGGATACGGAATTCCTGTGTCAATCTGCGTGAAAATCAACCCAACAACCTCGTTCTCCAACGCCCTGGCTACGATCCTAGTCACCCTTCTGTCACTAAAAATGCTTAACCCTGGACACTGTCTTTCCTCACGTTCTTCTTCCCTCATTCACCTGACCCGAGCCAATAAATAGATATCGCGTGTAGTGTAAAAAAAAACGCGTGGAAACCAAGGAAAACAGACTAGAACCGTAAAAAAAAGCTCAAAATATCAAAATAAGGAAATATCTGTGTTTAAAACGAAAACTGCCTTAATTGGGATTTAAAAATAAAATGTGGGTATTTTCCCCCCTTTTCGTCAATTACAAAAAAAAAAATACAAATAAGAAAAAAAAATTAATAAAAATAGTAATAAAAAAATTAAAACAAATAATAATATAAAAATATAATGTTACGATTATCCTCGAAACCTTGAGGGATTTCCCAAATATCCTACGGCTCGTATCGCCGGATTGTTTAATAAATGCTCACGATGACCAAATTGTAGTACAATTAACTTTATTGTACAACAAACAATTTACAATACTCGCTAATACCGTAAAAACACTTTACAATACTCGTCAAAGCAATTACAACGCTTTACAAAACTTGTTAACACAATAAACTTATAGCTTGCTTATTCGCAACTCCCTTTACTTGTAGCTTGCTGACTTGTAACTCCCCGTTGGTGTGTGAGTGGTGCTGCCGTAGGCAGAGGTCGTAGTGGGTATTTTTCGTACGTATGTCTACTGGCCCTTGTCTTTGTGTATGTTGTATGTCCACCGATGCTAGTGCCAGCATGCAGACTATCTGGAAAGTGTTGGGGGAGAAAAACAAAGCATTCATATGTATATACTAATATATAGCCGTTTTTTCTGTTCGCAAAGCTCGAGATTGACTGCACCGATTTTTTTGAAATTTCGGTTATAGGTTCTGGATCGCAAAGTAAGGGTTATGTATACATATGGACACACGTTCGTACATATTTAGTTATTTCGGCGCGCATTCCTGGCCAAAAGTAACGGCTGGCGATTCGATCGATGGTTTTCTCGGCACCATAATGTCCTGCAGTACTTTCATCGTGATACAATTTCAAAATAGTTGCACGCTCATGAGTGGGTATCACGAGTTGAGCTCCTTCAGTATCATCATTGGCGTAGCGATATAAAACTCCGTCATTCAAAAGGTAGCCACGGTTGCACCATAAGGGTACGTTTTCATCTTTTTGCTCCAGAGAATTTATTATCTTCGCTAAGTAGTCGTCTTTAAGCTGTTCAGCTCGTAGTTCATTTGATTTCTTACGAGGAAGTTCTGCTTGAAAAGCACATATGCAATTTAATGTTTGGTGGTCTTCTGACACACACGGCGGACGTGATAACATATCAGCTACGGAATTGCTTTTACCGGGGGTGTAATCGATTTGGAAATTATACTGCTGTATCTGTAATGCCCATCTTGCAAGGCGACCAGATGGCGATTTCATGGTCATCAGCCATTTAAGAGGTTGGTGATCTGTCTTTAGATGAATTTCAGCCCCGTCAATGTATCCTCTAAATTTTGCACATGCCCATACTATAGCAAGGGCTTCACGTTCCGTCGTCGAATAATTGCGTTCTGCTGATGTTAGTAAACGGCTTGCGTATTCGATTGGGTGCTCATTCTCCTTCTCCCCCTGGAGTAAAACCGCTCCTAATGCGTAAGAACTCGCATCAGTCTTAATGGTGAAAGCTACGTTATCTTCTGCTTGACGTAAAACTGGAGGGTTGGCCAGTAATTGCTTCAATTTACTGAATGCTTCAGCTTGTGGTGCATACCATTGCCATACAGCATTCTTTTTCATAAGATCAGTAAGTGGCTTTACGATCTCAGCGAAATGATCTATGAAACGGCGGTACCAGGAACATGTTTGGATAAAAGACACCAGTTCCTTGATATTTCGAGGTTCCTTTCGTGAGGTGATCGCATTTGTTTTTTCAGGATTGACTTTAATTCCATCTGTTGTAAGGACATGACCGAGATATTTGACTTCGGCACAACAAAAACGACATTTTGAAGGGTTTATGCGCAATTTAAACTTGTCCAGCTTATCGAAAACGGTACTCAGTTCTTTAAGATGTTCTGTGAACGTAGTCGAACAGATAATTATATCATCTAGGTACGCTAGAACTTTTACATTGGGTACTGCGGTTTTAAATCGGTCTATTAAGCGTTGGAAGGTGGCAGGGGCATTTCGAAGACCGAAAGGCATTCTCTTAAACCTGTATGTGCCAAATGGTGTTATGAGGCAAGTTTTATCTCTGTCTTTTTCAGCTACGGCTATCTGAAAGTAACCACATTGCAAATCTAGGGTCGTCATAAACCTAGTACTTTTCGCAGATTGCAGCAAGTCGTTCATGTGGGGTAACGGATACCTATCTGGCTTTGTGATGGAGTTTATCTTCCGATAATCGACACATACGCGCGTGCCCCCGTCTCTCTTTGGCACCATCACAACCGGTGACGCCCACGGCGAATCAGATTCTTCGATGATGTCGTTCTCGAGCATCTTCGTTATCTCGCACTTAAGTTCCTGCAGTCTAGGAAATGACAAGCGGTACGGAGGTGATGACACTGGCTCATGATCTCCAGTATCTATAAAATGCTGGGCATACTGCGTTGGCTCAGACGATGGACCAAAAACGTTTGAATGTGTTTGAAGTACCTTTTCAAGTTGCCTCTTTTCTTGTACTGATAAATCGGTTCCATCAGTCTCCTTTATAAAATAAAAATCTATTGAGAACAAATCTGTTGACTTGTGGGTATAAACGACACCAGTAAATAACCCAGGGCCTTTCGGCCGTTCAGGTGTAACCATTTCTGGAGGAATAGCATCTCGGAATATACTCTGAATAGTGTGTGGCGAATAATCGTTAGGGACATCTGGCCCATAATACTCAAAGTCAGACATGTATACTTTGGACGTATCGATTTCACGGATTGCTTCTACCTCTGGCTTGCGCTTGTTGTTAGTCGAACATACTTTGACCCTTTCTAAAATATTTAGTTCTAACGGTAATGGATCAGCAAAATCGAAGTGATGCGTAGGATCACTTTCGTAATACCAGTATCTCTGTCCCATGTTAAGTACAATTCCTGCCTGCTCCATAAAGTCAGCGCCAATCAGTGTTCTGTTACCAGTAGCATTCGGTAAGATAATGAACCGAATGTTCAAACATCGCCCCCCTATAATAATTTTGCATACAGTAGATAGACAGTTCTGCAGCGACGTGCTGCCGTCCGCAAGAGTAACGCCACAGTATACGTTTTCATATACGCATCTTTTAAAGTCCATGATGCGTTTCAGATTTGCACTAGCAACGCTCGTTCGAGCACCCGAATCAAAATAAACCTGACCAGGTGTTCCGAATAGCTGTATATTCGCAATGGGAATTTCCCTACCAATAGAAGTGGATAGTGAGTTAAAGTTCACCACCTCGGATGTTGCTGCTGGTTTCTTCCTACAATTGAGGCAGTTAGCGCGGGTCACACCTGGAGCATTACATCCGTAGCAAGCGTATTTAGGTTTCAAAGCTACTGCATGTGCTATGTTTGCAGCGTGTCCTCTTTCGCCTCTTCATTCTTCCTTTTAAAACAAACTTCCATGCTATGACCCTTCTTACGACAAAACCCACAGCGTGCCGAACTACTTGTGCTAGCATGATCGTCATTGTGCGTAACGTGCTGTTTGCGTTCTTGCCAAAAGAACTCTGCTTCACGAGCTTCTCTCAACAATTCATCAAAATTCGAAATTTTATGACGGTTCACCCTATCGCGGATTTGTACGTGCAACAGCCCAAACAGAATATCAATTTGGTCAGCTTCAGCTGGCACATTATGCAATTGGGACAGGAGTGCGCGCTTTTTCCGGATGAAAATGTCCGTCGCCTCATTCTTTTGCTGTTTTGTTTCAAACACCTCAACATAAATACGCCACGATGGCTTTGGAGGAGAAAATGCTTCACGCAGCATGCGAATAATATCATCAAAAGCTTCGGCCTTTGATTTTACTCCACGCCACCATTCTGCTGCATCACCCTCTAATATCATTGGCATTCCGCTAATAGCATCTACATCGCTTATCTTTTCAACCGCCTTAAAAGTGGAAATTGCGGCGATAAATTCCTCAACTTTTGTGGAACTACGCTCGCCACTAAAACGAGCAGTGCAGTTGCTAAATGAGCCAGGTCGAGAATTGTAACTACTAACGGCTTGTAAGAGCCTTTCAAACTGTTCTGCGTTAAAAGTCGTCATATTATTGGTATGGTTTAATTTAGCAATGCGTTCGCTTCGGCGAATCGGTGTGTCTGAACCACACGAGAGGTTGGCCACGATTTTGCGAGACTTTATTAATATTTCTGTCAATCGAAAATTTTGGCCACGCAGTTGGGCGCCAGTTTAGTGAACTTTTGTGGTTTTATTGTCAAAATAATTAAATGGTAGTGACAAACAAGAAATAGCTCAGGATTTGCGTGAGTAATTAACCTAGGGTAACAGAATAAATGTACATACATATTAATTATATAGTACTGGCAATGCACTCAACCACTTAGAGACCAGCTTTGCGCTGTTCGTCTAAAGCATCGCATCTACATACATATACACATGTGTGTACAGTTCAAGTGACCAGTTTTGCACTGATCGCCTTGTTCCGTACGAAGACAACAACAAAACACTGTTAAGCTATTTTCTAAATGACCAGCTTTGCGCTGTTCGCCTTATACTCATAGCAACAATGAAATAAACGTATTAGGAAAACTTACCTCTCGTGTGCACGGCTTCCAACAAGTGAAGTCGAGCACACAGAGGATCGCGTTTTTATAGTGTCCCGCTAATGCTAGCAGGTGAGCTTTTAATGTGGGGAAAAACTAAGTGGTGTAATGCTTACAGTGAGTTGCCAGATCTTAAGCTAATTGTGTTATAACTATAAGTTCACCATACGTAATGCTACAACTATTAATATTTGCAATGACTAGGAAAACACTTGGATTCAACATGGCGTATGAGTGATGTTTATCTGGTGATTTCTTTTATTTGATGATTAGTAATATTTAATGATGAGGTCCTTTATTGGTATGAATTATAATGTGATCTTAGATGTATTGAGCATGTGCTCACTGGTTAAGGAACAAAAAAAAATTATTGCAAATATTTATTTTTATAAGGCAAGACTTAGTTACTAACTAATTAATATATGTAATTAAAACTAATTTTTCAAACTAATTTAAACTGTTTTTCTAATAAACTGATATTTGGGAACCTACCTACGATTTCAACCAAATTCGACAAGATTTGATGAAAATATACCTATTTTTTTTTTTGTAAAGATGCATTTAAAATCTGCAGTTTCCGGAAAACAAACAACAGCGTTGAGCGACCTATAAATCTTGTTCAAATAAGCTGAAATTTTAGAAGGAACTGGTCTTCCCTATTATCTTCAAGAATCCGAACGTTCCCAGTCGAAATTCAAAAAAGTTCCAATTTTGAATCACCCTAACCTACACCGTCTGTTGATGCGTCGCACTGAATGAAAAATCGTCGGTTAAAGTCCGGGTGAGTCAGTACTGGTGCAGTGATCAAGCTTTGCTTCAACCGCTGAAACGCAACCTTGGCTTCGTCAGTCATAGTGAATTTTTTTATCCGGTCCTTGGTGAGACAGTCGTGTAATGGTGCGGCTATAGTTGCGTACTCGTGAATAAAACGTCGGTACCACCCTGTCATCCCTAGGAACCGCCGAAGCTGTTTCGGACTTCGAGGCTCAGGGAAGTCTCTTACTGCTGCTACTTTGTTTGCATCAGTTCGTATGCAACCATCGCCTACCACGTACCCGAGATACCTTACTTGCCGATAACTAAACTTACTTTTCTCAACATTGATTGTGAGCTTGGCTTCACGTAAACACCTAGCGACCTTTTCCAACAAACACAAATGAGACGAAAAACTTTCGGAACAAACTAACAAATCGTCTAAATACACAAACACACACTCACGTAAAGCAGCCGGTATGACTTTGTCCATTAATCTACACATACGCTGAGCCGCGTTACACAAACCAAAAGGCATAACTGTGAAATGATACAGGGGCCTACCGGGAACTGTGAAGGCTGTCTTTTGCCTAGAATTCTTCTCTAATGGAATCTGCCAAAACGCATCTTTTAAATCTATAGCCGATATAAAGCGCGTGTTCTGTAGTCGGCTGAGGATTCCTTCCACGTGCGGTAGTGGATATGCGTCCTTAATTGTCCTTTCGTTTACTTTCCTAGCATCTAAACATAATCTATTCTTAGTGCCTTTTATTACCAGAGAGACGGGGGAACTCCAACTACTGTTACTTTCTTCTATGACCCCCATACTCAACATTCTATCTAGCTCCTGATACACTAGCTTTTGGATCGGTGGTGATATAGGGTAGTGCCGCTGTTTGACCGGAAGATTTTCATTCGTCACTTCGATGACGTGCTCTTCTTGGTCTGTTTTTCCAAGCCCTAGTACGGCGAACGATGGGAACTGCGCTTTTATCTTTTCCAATGCTACGCTCTCCTCATGCGTTAAATCATGCTGCACCGCGTCAAATGACAAGTCCCCCTCGGCGGGTGCGAGCTCTGCAACGACCGCGCTCTTTGCTTTAACACCCCTACTGACAACCTCCAAATCGAAAGCTCTCCAAAAGTCGATTCCTAGGTAAACCTCCTGCTGCAAATCGGGCACGATCAAAAACTCGAGATCTCTCGAGACCCCATCCCATAACACCGGCAAAACAATCGCACCTAGCACTGGCGTTTCGCCACCATTGGCGGTTCGAATATTTTGTCCCTTAATTTTGAGAATTCCATCCTCTCTTCCTTCCAAAAATTTTAGGGAGTTTTTACCTAGACAACTCGCGCCAGCACCAGAATCCAACAGGGCTAACATCTCCTTGCCACCTATATTGGTTTGCGCAAAAAAACGATTGTCACCCTTCACAGTGACTATTGTTGCTATAATCTTATTCTTAATCCTTTTATAATTCCTCCGCTTTGCCCTCATTTTTTCAATTTTCTTAAAATTCCTACTTTTCTTATTCTTGACTAATTCTTCTGCAAAAATCCTTCTTCTTGCTTCTTCATATTCTAATTTCCTTTGATGTAAACTCTTTCCTATAACTACTTCTCTATCCTCTAACTTACTTCTAATATTACCATCACCACTGCTAACACTATTATCCCTACTTAATATTTTGACGGCTGATTTTATTTCTCCGGGCGATTCGCTTCCTGGCAAGAATTCCCGGAAATTTCCGCCAGTTTCAAGTTTCCCAGGTTCGGCTTGTAGACACAGAATGACATGTCACCCCCGCACGCGAAACAAACCATGCTGTGAAACGTAGAGTTGCAGTTGTTGGTCACCTCAGGATTCTTTGTGTAGTAGTCGACCGGCATGCCACACTTGAAACAGATCATCAGGTGAAAGGGCGACGAACAGAAGCTGTGACCTGGAGCTGCCTGCACACCGGAAGAACTGCTGCTGGGAACTGGCTGAGGTCGACTTGGTTGCATCCGGTTGATTTTCGAAGTTCCCTGACCGCCTTGTACACCCGTCTTACTGCGCTCGAAGCTATTTGCGTTGATTGCTTCTACCTCCACTCGCTCGTCATCACACACATGCTGTAACTCGTTAACGCCTCTGGACCTTGTTCGACTTTCGCGGAACAGTCTCTCAGCTCTCTTGCACTCGGATTTCAGATCCGCCAAGGTGTCCATTTTCGAGGAGAAAGTCAGGCTTGCCAGGTATGGCTTTAAATTGGCCTTGAGGATGCCCACTAGTTCCTTTTCAGGTATTTTCTGGCGCAAGCGGAACGTCAAGTTGTGGACATCACTGTAGAAGTCGTCGAATGTCTCATGTGGCATTTGCTTGCGCTCCATGATCTCCCGTATTATTTCGTAGTCCGACTCTGCAGTTTTATAATGGCTCAATAGTTCGGCTTTCAGCTCGAAGTAGCCAAAATTCTGGTCCTCAGCGTGGTCTTCGACAATTTGCCAATACCATTTAAGTGCATTGCCCGTGACCAAGCAATGGAAATCGGAAAACAGCTGTTCATACGGGACATCATGTTGCGCTCGCATCCTTTCAACTCTGAAAATAAAACTTTCTACAGTGATGTTCTTCCCGGTACCATCAAACTTGACGTGCCACTTGTCCAGGTCAACCTTCTTCCACCTGGTGGCTTCTTCTGCCCTACCCTGGCTAGCCTGCTCCCTACGAGGTTCTGCCTCTCTGCGCTGGTATCCACCATCCCCTCGCTGAGCTCCTGCCTCAGGAGTTGATGCCATAGCGGGTGGGTTAATGACTGCCTGCGCAGACGATTCCACATCTGTCACACGGTTGCTGAGCTGCGAGACATCATTGCGCATGTTGCGGACCTCGCTCATGCATTGAGCCATCATATTATTTTGTTGGGCCATCAGCGCCATCATTTGTTCCATGTTATTCAATGCAGAGCTTGGCCCACCACCATTCGCCTTCGAAGCTGCAGCACCCTGGGGCAGTTGCAGATTGTCTTGCTCCATAATTTCGCTCTGCCTTAAGTGCTGACTATCTCCTGTCAATTGCAAGGCCTCTTCGAGTTTCTCCGCGAAAGTCGAACTCCGGTCTCTTGTACTTATGTGGATATTATTGGTGACGGTTACACTTGAGTGGGGTGCGTTACCGGTCGAGCTAAAGAGTCGCGCGGTGCACCTGTTCAAAAAGTCGGTGGGAACAAAGTCAACCGGATACGGAATGCCTGTGTCAATCTGCGTGAAAATCGATCCAACAACCTCGTTCTCCAACGCCCTGGCTACGCTCCTAGTCACCCTTCTGTCACTAAAAATGCCTAACCCTGGACACTGTCTTTGCTCACGCTCTTCTTCCCCCATTCACCTGGCCTGAGCCCATAAATAAATTTCGCGTGTAGTGTAAAATAAAAAAAATAAAAAAAAATCGCGTGGAAACCAAAGAATCGTAGAAAAACTCAAAATATCAAAATAAGGAAATATCTATTGGGATTTTAAAATAAAATGTGGGTATTCCTCCCCGTTTTCACAAGTTACAAAAATAAAAAGTAAAAATATAAATGAGAAAAAATAAATAAATAAAAATAATAATAAAATAAACTACAATAAATAATAATATAAAAATATAAATAATAATAAAAATAATGGCAATGTAAAAATTCAAAGAAAATGTAAATAGTTTGTTCAGAGCAAAAATCTCAAAAAAAAACTAGAATGCAAAAA